AAAAAGCAACCTTTAATTAAAATCAGAATCAATTATGAGTAACCCAAAACAAAGAAACCTAAAACCAGCAAGTCATCTAAGAGATCAAAACATATCATATCGAATCCAAACTTCAAAGGAAACGAATTAGACAAAAATCCGACATAAATCTCAAAAACCCAGAAACCGAAACCACCAAATTACTCATCAGAAAACTCAAAATCACATGAGAAAAAATAGTATCCCGGAGAAACCTAACCCGCTATCACCGAGGATGATGACTTTGAGGAGAGTACGTCTACGGGACGGCATCGAATCAGATCTAAAACAAAGAGAGAGATTGAAGAAAGCTCTGGCGATCTCTTGTGATATTTTTGTTGAAGAAGACGGTGGTGTGTGCCCTCAAGAGTCTAAGCTGTTCCTGATCTGTCTTATAATTTATTTTGTCTTCTTGTTAAAAGTGAATAATTATTGTTAATAATTAAATTTTATTAAATAATAGTTATATAAATTTTGGATTTATCTAACAAGCAGCTCTCGTAGCTCAGTTGGTTAGAGCACTCTCAACGAGAGCATGCTCTTCCATATCTTGTTTTGTTTTATAGCCTGCTCTTTCTTATTTATTTTTGACTTATTTTTTCTCTTTTGCGTAAATAAAACCCAAACATCGAATTCTCTACTGTAATTTTTTTTTTTTGTTTTACAAATTTAGATGTAGGTACATAATTTGCATGGCTGTATTAATATCCAAATTTAGACCTTACAAAAAGAAGCAATTCAGAAACAACAACAAAAATTTTGAAAGCATCTCTTTAAAAATAGAATCTGAAAGACACAAAGAGCTTTTGTGTTTTCTCTTTCTCTTTGTTCATCTCTCTCTCTATCTCTTTCTCGTAAAAAAAAAAGGAGAGAGCTTCACCAAAAAAAATCATATACAGAAAGAAAACACCGAAATAGAGATTATGGCGGAGGGGCAATCCCCGGAGAATTCACCGCCGTCCCCTACACCACCATCTCCGTCCTCATCCGACAATCAGCAACAATCCTCTCCTCCGCCTTCTGATTCCTCCTCTCCTTCACCACCAGCTCCTCCTCCGCCGGATGATTCCTCCAATGGTTCCTCTTCATCACCTCCACCGCCTTCTTCAGGCTCAGAATCTCCTCCATCTCCGCAAGGAAACAACAACAATGATGGCAACAATGGTAATAACAACAATGACAACAACAATGGTAATAGCAACAATGGTAATAACAACAACAATGACAACAACAACAATGGGAATAACAAAGACAACAACAACAAATGGCCAGAACAACAATGGTAATAACAACAATGACAACAACAACCAAAACAATGGCGGAGGAAGCAACAACCGTTCACCTCCGCCTCCTTCGAGAATCTCTGACCGTAACTCTTCGTCCCCACCAAGAGCGCTGGCTCCGCCTAGATCAAGCGGTGGTGGTTCCAACTCCTCAAGTAACAATGAACCAAACACGGCTGCTATCGTAGGAATTGTGGCTGGTGCTGGATTGTTGTTTCTTGTTATGATATTGTTCTGCGTCTGTTGCTGTCGTAAGAAGAAAAAGAAGCATCAAATGCCGTATTATGCAGGCAACGGTTACGCCACCGGCAAAGGTATATATAAAACCCATCAAACCTAGCCCTATCCTAACCTAGTTTCTACTTTAAAACATTTTCTTGTGCACCAAGCTAATTAATAAACTAACATTTTCTTAAGAACCTTCGAACCGCAATCCATTTGAGATATGATAGAGAAACCATGTCTCTGGCACAATTTTTGAGTTCTATAATATCCGAAATATTGTTACCCAAAGAACCATATCATTCTTTCGTTTTCTTGTTATCCAAGAAACAAGGTGAAAACAAGTCTCTGTTTTATTTTAGGCGATCAATACCAACAGCAGCAATACAATAACCAGAGCGATCACGTGATGAATCTGTCTCAGCAATATCCTGGATCAAACGGGAATAATAACTGGATGAATTCACCGCCTCCACCACCACCAGGAAGCTGGCAACCCTCGCCGCCACCACCACCACCGCCTGTCTCAGGCGGTATGAACGGAAACAGTAGCGACATGAGCTCAAACTACTCAGGACCACATGGTCCGTCTCTACCACCACCTCACCCTTCAGTGGCTCTAGGTTTCAACAAGAGCACATTCACCTACGACGAGCTAGCTGCTGCAACTCAAGGCTTCTCTCAAGCAAGATTGTTAGGTCAAGGCGGGTTCGGGTATGTTCACAAGGGAATACTTCCCAATGGGAAAGAGATTGCGGTGAAAAGTCTAAAAGCGGGAAGCGGGCAAGGAGAGCGCGAGTTTCAGGCTGAGGTTGACATTATTAGTCGAGTTCATCATCGGTTTCTTGTGTCTCTTGTTGGATATTGTATTGCAGGAGGACAGAGGATGTTGGTTTATGAGTTCTTACCTAATGACACACTTGAGTTCCATCTCCATGGTAAAAGTGGCAAGGTTCTTGACTGGCCTACAAGACTCAAGATTGCTTTGGGATCAGCTAAAGGACTTGCTTACTTACATGAAGACTGTGAGTCAAAACAAAAATCTAAATTCTTCGATCTTATTGGGAAACTCGAGTGGTTTAATTAGGGATGTGATCAAACTTTGTTTTCTTGACTTAGGTCATCCGAAAATCATTCATAGAGACATTAAAGCTTCAAACATTCTTCTTGATGAATCCTTTGAAGCTAAGGTACGCTCTTATGATTTTAAAATCATAATGCTTTCAGATTCTTTGGTATTTTTTTCTTTCTCTAACTGAACTGTCTCAAATCTACAGGTTGCAGACTTCGGGTTAGCGAAGCTATCTCAAGACAATGTTACACATGTGTCCACTCGTATCATGGGAACTTTCGGGTAATAAAGAACGCGGAACCAGCTTATGAAAACTGTTACTGCAAATTTCAGTAGCTCTTGCTTTTATATCAAAAACGTTCTTTATTTATAATCGCATCCAAGAATCTGTTTCTCTAATCAAGAATTTCAAATTGTGACTCAAACGACAGGTACTTGGCTCCAGAGTATGCGTCAAGCGGGAAGCTGACAGACAGATCCGATGTTTTCTCCTTTGGAGTGATGCTTCTTGAGCTCGTTACCGGACGCAGACCTGTTGATCTCACTGGTGAAATGGAAGACAGTTTGGTCGATTGGGTCCGTAACCATATAGTTAAATATATTCATCACATTAATGGTTCCTCTGTTAGAATCTTGTGATCTAATGCAAACTTGGTTACACAGGCAAGACCCTTATGCTTAAACGCAGCTCAGGATGGAGATTACAGTGAACTAGTTGATCCACGGCTTGAGAACCAATACGAGCCTCATGAGATGGCACAAATGGTGGCTTGTGCCGCTGCAGCCATCAGGCACTCAGCCAGACGCAGGCCTAAGATGAGCCAGGCAAGTTTTACTTTTGAACATGACCACCCTTTGAAACATGTAATTTACACACAAGAAAATGATCACAATGGTCCAATTTTTAAACAGATTGTTCGGGCTCTGGAGGGAGATGCATCTCTAGACGATCTAAACGAAGGAGGGAAACCGGGGCAAAGCTCATTCCTCGGGAGGGGATCAAGCTCGGACTATGACTCAAGCACTTACAGTGCGGATATGAAGAAGTTCAGGAAAGTGGCCTTGGATAGCCATGAGTACGGTGCAAGCAGCGAGTATGGGAACACGAGCGAATACGGGCTTGACCCGTCTTCCTCGAGCAGCGAGGAGATTCGTAGAGGAGGAGCTAACAACAACAAAACCACTCCTAGCCGAGAGCTTTGATTTAGCTGTTAGTTTCAAAACAATCTACCTTTGCTGTGTTTTTGTGGTTTGTTTCCCTATGAAATTTTTTTTTAACTCTTTTTATTTATTTTTGTCACCGTTGGATTTGTGTTTGTGTGTGTGAGAAAAAGATTCAAACTTTTGGTTGTGATTAATTGATTTATTAATGCTAATTGTCTCTGTCTTAATTCCATCACTCTATCAAGTAACTTGGGATTCTACAAAAGAGATTTGAGAAGAATTGAACAACTTCAGATTGAATAAAATCTCAAAGTTTCCAACTTTTTTTTTTTTAATTTCTATATCAATCTTCTTGATCCTAATGAATGATAAGAAGCACAGGGGGGTTTGTGAAATTTACGAATTTGCCACTCTAGAGATCTCAGAAACAGAGGATAACGACAGAGAAAGAGATCATGAAAGTGTAAAGAAGGATCAAGAACCCAAAATACAGAGCCCAATTTCTCTTAAACTTGCCAAAGTAGCTATCTGGTGGTTCTTGATACGGAACTTCCAGATCCCAAGCAGCAGCCGAGGCCTCGTCACCGTCGCCACCACCGAGGAAATCTCCGGCGGCGATTCTTGACTTGATGAAACGGAGCTTATGAGTGGCGAGGCCGAGAGTGAGCTTGTGGCAGCGACGCTGGTACTTGAAGCCGTTGATGCAACGGAGAGTTTGAGCGACGGAGACGTAGAAGAAGAGGTGGGAGAAGGAGAGGAGGCAGATGGGTGCCCAGCAATGGCGGCAGTGGAGACGACCTGAGGGTTGTGATAGAGAGAAGAAGATCACGGCGAGGAAGATGAAGAAGAGCTGAAATAGCTTGTGGAGCTTCTTCTTCTGGTGGTCAATGGCACGTTTTTTCTCTAAGGTTTTCTCGAAGTGGAGCTGGATTATTGAGTTTAGGGCTTGTAGAGCGGTTTCTTTGGGGATGAAAGGTTGGTTATTGTGGTCAATTTCGTCGTCGTAGTCCGCCATTGAAGGGACTGAGAAGAGAGAAAAAGTGTTTTTGGTTAGAGAGAGATGGTCTGGGGATTGTGTGTAGGAGAGAACATGTGGGTGTGGTTCGTATCTCTAGACAATTATTATCCATCTCAACGGTCTAGTTCAAACTTTTGACATTTTGTCCGTATTCAATAAACCAGTAAAATAAAATGCTTCTGGTAGTCTCAACTTATGTCTCTGCATAGCAACACCAATCAAGTTAGAGCCAAAGGAAACGATGCATAAACCTCAGGCAATGAGCATTACATTCAGTGATCTAATCAGGATGTCTGCCAGAAGTATAAAGATACAAAAGTCGAGCTACATAAGAGAATACTATTTCAGTTCCAAGTGCCATTGTCTCTTCTCCTTGAGTCTTTCATATTTGTTTCCAGGAAATCGGTATTTCAAACGCCCAACAACGTTTCTTCTTTAGGCAAGAGACCAGCGCGGCTGAGTTTGTTGGTAAAACAGCGCATCTGAGAAGTATAGAGATGTATCAGCCTCTCAGATTCAATTCAAGAGAAGAATATAAAAAGAATTCCTTCGCATCCTAATGCATGCCACTAACTATGTTAGTTCTAAGTTCTAACAGTTTCTGCAAATCCAAGCTCCACATACAAGGGTACTAATACCAATCTCAATACTAGGTCAATTACTCGGGTCAGTGAAACTCTAAATTAATGAAGCAAGAATATAAGTTGTTGTTATAGATTGATAGTGCTTTATGACATTACTCAACAAAAGCCTTATCATACTCTCCAAACTGACCCCACAAAAAAACTTGGATGATGTCAACTCACGGTCTCTAAGCTGATGATGTTCTTGAAAAAAATAACCAGGACTAAGGAAATATAAATCAAGATCCAGCAAATTCTCTAGGAACATAATCAAGGATGTAATAATATACGAAACATCAACAAGTTTTTAGCATAACTGATCCGAATTTCTTAATAAACACAACAAGTCAATCAATTTTCCGATCAAGAACTGCAAAGGAAACTAGTGATAATATCATTATACTATGATATGACTAATAAGCCTTGCAAGATAAAGATGGTCACCTTTTCTATCTATGAATATTGAGCATGGATTTAGCCTCAGTCTGCTGCTCAACCAAATCTTCACTAGCATACTTACTAAGCAAATCCATCTTCTTCTTCTCCAATACCATCTTCTCTATCTCCTTCTCATCAGGCAACGGAACATGAACCACAAATTCCCTCTCTTTCTCCTCCTCTCTCTCCCTCTCCATCCTCTCCTCCTCAACCACATCTTCTTCCTCCTCAAACAACACCTCCCTCGCCGCAGCAGCAGCAGCTCCAACACTCACAACCTCACTAGCACCTTTCCTAGCTTCCTTCCTAACCTCATCCAACCTCCGCCACTCCTCCACCGATCTTTTCCTCATCACTCCTTCAGCATTCCTCTCCAATTTCTCCAAAATACCATCCTCATCATCTCTATACCCGTAATAGCTAGCATCTATCCTTTTGTATATATCATACCTCGTCTTACGCTTCCTTAGCTCAGGAGGCTTCTCAAAAAGCTCTCTAACTCCAGGAAGCTTCTTAGCAGCTCCGAAATAACGATAACCAGGACCACGACCACTAGGGTTAGGTACATCGATGATGTTACCTTCAAGATCCGTCATTTTCGCAGAGTGTTTAGAATAATTCGGACCACCTAGCTCAACGATTCGCCTCTCCCAATGATATCTCTCCCTGAGGAGCTTGTTAATCTCGTCGTTCAGATCTCGAAGTCGGTGCTCTCCTAATCCTTCGTTCTGAATCTCAGCCACTTTGCTTCCGATCTCTCTCAGAATTTGTTGTCTCCATTTGTCTGCTTCCGATAGATCTCGACATTCCGATGCAAGGAAAGGTCGACGCTCTTTCGGCTTCTTCTTCTCAGCTTCTTTCTGGGTGATGAACCTGTTGAGCATCGACTGTGCTTTCTCTTCATTACGCGCCATCTTGGATCTTCGGAGGTTACGATTGCACTAGAAAATCTCAAAGGAAAGAAGAGATCGATACTTTTACTTGTCTAGCTTTTTTTCGTGCTTAAACCCTAATTTGCAGGATTGTGAGAGGGAGAGACGCGAGAAAAATGGATTGGGGTTAATTGGATTTCAAGCTCTAATATTTTCCGTAATTAGATAAAAAAACAAAAATTGTTTCAAGTTTTGCGTCCTCTTTTTTAAAGCTAAGGCCCAATGTATTAGCCCAAATATGCTATTTAAGCATCATAAGTGTTGTATCTACTATCTAGATAGGAGGACATTATTAGGGCCCAAGGAAGACTCGTTTCGAGTATTGATTAAACGAGTTATCTTTTTGGAATCGACATGTATAACCAAGTCCAAGTGTGCTTGATAATAAAAAGATGAGACTAATTTGAAATTCGTGCAAATTTGTTATCTCGTGCATCATGTAAAAGGATTAGTAAGCAAAAGGTAACGAAAAGATACACCACCTAATACTAGTTTAGGTGTAAAACTTGAAACAGTAGAATTATCTGACTTTGTGCCAGTTAATGTTCATTTGTGAATGGAAAACATGTAACGCCTCAACCAATTCAGAATCTCGTTTCCAAGTTGAAGATGGAGGTTGCAAAGTACCACTCCAAACACCAAAACAATAAAAATCGTATCTCATACAATACTTATATTAACATTGCAAAGAGTTTCAAGGTTTTTCTTCTGAGTTTTGAAAGAAATTATATCGAACAAAAGGAATAAAGAGGCATCAATTCGATCACTCAGAGCTACAAAACAATGGACTAAAACGCAAAACGAAAGCGGTTTTTTGTTTTGAAACGCAGACGTAAGTAAAACCCAGAGAGTTTGTCACACACAAGTGCATCATAGAAACGAAAACAAAAAGGGAAATGAAACAAACAAATGGAGAAGCAAATTGTAAAAGAAAAAAGAAACTTTGATCCCATTCATAAAAACCCATCTTTTTAAGCCTTGATCTTGAGAGATTAGAAGCATTTTCTGTGAACAATTCCTGGACCTGCCTCATCATACTCAGCCTTGGAGATCCACATCTATAACCAACATATAACAAATAATCAGCATTTGATTTAAATCGGAGAAATCGATAAAAGTTGGTCAATATTTTACCTGCTGGAATGTGCTGAGGGAAGCAAGAATGGAACCACCGATCCAGACACTGTACTTCCTTTCAGGTGGTGCAACGACCTTAATCTTCATGCTGCTTGGTGCAAGTGCTGTGATTTCTTTGCTCATACGGTCTGCAATACCAGAGAACATAGTGGTTCCACCACTGAGCACAATGTTACCGTACAGATCCTTCCTGATATCCACATCACACTTCATGATTGAGTTATAGGTTGTCTCGTGGATTCCAGCAGCTTCCATTCCCACAAACGAGGGCTGGAACAAGACTTCTGGGCATCTGAATCTCTCAGCACCGATCGTGATGACTTGCCCATCGGGTAATTCATAGTTCTTCTCAATGGAAGAGCTGGTCTTTGAGGTCTCCATCTCCTGCTCGTAGTCAACAGCAACAAAGGATAGCTTCTCCTTGATGTCTCTTACAATTTCCCGCTCTGCTGTTGTGGTGAACATGTAACCTCTCTCTGTAAGGATCTTCATGAGGTAATCAGTGAGATCACGACCAGCAAGGTCGAGACGGAGGATGGCATGTGGAAGAGAGAAACCCTCGTAGATTGGCACAGTGTGAGACACACCATCACCAGAATCCAGCACAATACCTGTTCAAGTGAAGAAAATCAGAGCTCAGTTTCAAAATGATCAATGAGTATAATAAACAGAGAAACAAAAAGCCTAAAATGTACTAACCGGTTGTACGACCACTGGCGTACAGGGAGAGAACAGCTTGGATGGCGACATACATAGCGGGAGAGTTAAAGGTCTCAAACATGATTTGAGTCATCTTCTCTCTGTTGGCCTTTGGGTTAAGAGGAGCCTCGGTAAGAAGAACAGGGTGCTCTTCAGGAGCAATACGGAGCTCATTGTAGAAAGTGTGATGCCAGATCTTTTCCATATCATCCCAGTTGCTGACAACACCATGCTCAATAGGATACTTCAAGGTAAGAATACCTCTCTTGGATTGAGCTTCATCACCAACATATGCATCCTTCTGGTTCATCCCAACCATGACACCATGATGTCTTGGCCTACCAACAACACTGGGGAAAACAGCCCTGGGAGCATCATCTCCTGCAAAACCAGCCTTCACCATACCGGTACCATTGTCACAGACGATGGGTTGAATATCATCAGCCTCAGCCATTTTTATGAGCTGCAAACACACAAAAGAGCTGAATACTGTCAAATAAACCCTGATTGAATCAGAAATAGCTTTCTAGATCAACGTATGACACTACAAGATCCTAATGTTTAGAAGAGCACATACTTTTCAGAAGCATCCCTCAATCGATACTCAAACTTCATCTAACCTTAAACAGTGTTAAAATTCAATCTAACTTCAGCAGTTCAGATTTCAATTGACATGTACAAATCATTTCCCAGGTAATTAGAGATTAAACTCAAAGAAATGTAACAATCTGAGCATGGATCTATCCCTATTCAAGATCTAGACAAATTCTGGTAGCTGTAATCGAGCTAAAGATGATCGGTCAACTGAAATCGATTCTAGTAAAACCAAAAGATTTATCGGTTGTTGACAGATCCAAATTCAACGAATTCCAGATCTCAACGAAATTGAGAAAACAAGATCGAGATCCAGCAAATAAAGTAGATCCAGAAAGTTCCTTTTTACCTTGAAAGAAAGATGGAGAAAAGCGGAAGAAGAAGAAGATGAGATTGAGGAAGAAAACAAAGGCGATCTAAAGAGAGCCTGGCTTATCTCACTTTCTCTTAATCTTCTTCCTTCTTTCTCTGTATAGTCGCCGGAGATTCAAAACGGCCGATGAAAGTGAGGACAACGAGACAATTCAAAGCGGAGAGAAAATATATGAATTTATATAGGCGGGTTTATCTCTACAACTTTATTTTCGGCCTTTCAAAAAATAAATAAAAAAATCGACAGAGACGAATCATTTCGACCACAGGTAAAGATAACGTGACCTGGCTGTCAGACAGCCTTTTCTCTCGTGTTAACTAATTTTAAAACTAATTAATCATCTCAGCCGTTGGATTCATCATTGTTTTGCTTTGATGGCTTCATGACTGTGACCTGCTTGCTCGGCCTTAATATGACAGCTCCGATCAAACCGAGTCAATCCAGGCAACGTTAGTCGTCGTCGTGGTTGGCTTGTTCAATTAGATTTCATAAAATTCAACTTAATTTAATTCATTTTCTATTAGAACTGTATCATAATTAATTCGTTTAAGTTGAATATTTATATCAGACCGTGAAAGAAAGTGACTTTCATGATGTCTAATGGATATACAATAATAAGATACAATATTTCATCGTATTCACTATTCACGATTAGTATGTATTAAATAATGGCTACTACTACATCCGAACTCGTCAAAAACGATTGTGAATCAATTATATATATGCTGACACTTGCACACAAAAATTAGTTGTTTAATTTTTTGTCTAACTAATGTTTGGTATAAGTATAATGTTGAGTTAAGATACCAATACATTGAGCCTAGCCATTTTGTCGTGTGCCATATTTCTTCTAGGAATGTCAAAACTTTCCTACATAATGACAACCTACATGAGATTTGTATCAATATATTTGAGATTATAAGTAGTTCTTTCTAAATTTTACTGACGTTACTAATAGCTAGTTTTCTTGGGTCCTAGTCACTTATAGTTTTGGGACTTTTGGCATAGAGCCATGTATTATTTAGCTAGTTTTCTATATATAGTGAAATGTATTTAATTATACGCATATATTATGATTTTATGTATCTGATTCCATCTAGTTATTTAGCTTACAAACTGAACATATGAACGTATATAAGATCAAATCATCATCGGGCTTAGATTAGCAAACTAATCATTCATCATCATAAACTTTTTTTTTATGTTTGTTGAGATTAAATCAAAACTAAAAAGTCAACTTTTTGGTGATCCACGTGAATCGCACGTGCCGGTTACGATCGTACCAGGTGAGAGAGAGAGAGAATGTGAGAAGGTGATGAAGCTGGCACCTACGAAAACGTTGTGTCCATCATTACGAAACTACTACTACTTCTGATTTATACATTGCTACTATTATGATTACATTTAATTCTCTCACTATGAACAATCCCTTTATTATATGCAAAGCAGGCCAGACCACGTTCATGTTTTTTATATTATAAAGTATACATATATATGGCAGGCCACGTTCATATCTTTTGTTGGAGAAAAGTCAATTAAGGTTAGTTTTTCTGGATTTGGTATGTAATTAATAGTTTGCTTGATCCCAGAGATCTAGCTTTTTTCCTCTCAACTTTACTAGTAGTGGTACACCACAATCCACCCATAAAGTTTTATTTCTTTTTTGGAATAATGATTTATATATGACCTATAAATTCAAATCGGCTTAAACCCTACATGCAAATTGCAATAGAAACCAATCGAACAATGGAGTTCCAGAGTTTCGTTGTAATTTTTTTACATGTAGAGAACAAATCTTCAGTAATTAAGAACAACGTGAAAGCAGAAAAATGGTTGGTATATAGTGTCTTTTTAACGTTTAAGTTGATAAATAAAACCACAACATTTGGTCGGAACAATATAAATTGAAAAAAAATAATTGATGGGTTATAAAGAATACATGTGACTTTAAATAATCCATCCATTTTTTTTGTCACCAACAGATATTGTGCCGATTTGAATTTCAGTGATGATACAATAACGACTCTTAACATAATTACTAGATTCATGTATGTTGGTCGGTCCGTCCGAACTTTAGAGACGATATATATAACACAAACAATAATTTTCCATATAACTAACACAAGCATCTGACATCCGTTCAATAAAGTAATATGGAAAATCACTCTACTACATTTCCATTTTATAATGTTTCTTTAAACACAAATTGTAACTATCTTAGACATTAAATAAAATTGAAAATTAAAAAGATAGAAAAAATTGAAAATTAGTAATTCTCTATTTTGAGGATTGACGCAATTTTACATAGTGGCCGATATGCATAGGATCAAAACT